GAATGGATTATACGCATTGGTCCTTGGTATAGTTTTTGGGGTTTATGTGCGTGGTGTGGTATATTTTTGCCCATTGTAGGTGATGATGAAAATGAAAGTATAATATATTCGGGTAATCAGAGATTGCCAGGGGTTGAAACTATGTTTAATAGGGGAGAGATAGGAGAAGGGAAGGGAAGGTTTGAAATAAGGGAAAATTTTAGGGGAAAATAAGGGAAAATTTAGGGGGAAATAGGGGAGACTTTTAGGGAGAAATAAGGAAGACTTTAGGGGAAATAGGGAAAATTTTAGGGGGGAAATAGGGAAATAGGGAAAACTTTTAGGGGGGAAATAGGGGAGAATTTTAAAGGGGGAACTTGGGGAGAGGATCGCGAAATGTCATGCAATGGGTTGCAAAAAAGAGAAATTGAGTTGCGAGGAGAAGAGTTAGAGACAGAAAAATTGGAAAATGAAAAGGATATTGAGTTAGGAATGACTCGAGTGCGGGAAGGAGTTGAGAAGATTAGTCAACAGATATCAGGAGATTTTTGACGAAGTGTTGGGGTGCTTAAGAGATTACGAAGTAGATATTAAATTAAAGGAAAATTGTGTACCAAAATTTTGTGCGTTGCGAAGAATACCGTTTGAATGGCGAAAGGAGGTGGAAATAGAGTTGAATAAATGGGTGAGAAGGGGCATCGTATGTCCAGTGGAATATAGTGAGTGGGCAACGCCCTTAGTGCCTGTGAAGAAAGCAAATGGGAAGCTTCGGTTGTGCGCAGATTTCCGGGTAACTTTAAACCCGTGGGTTGTAGAAGTAAAATATCCGTTGCCACGGATTGAGGAGATATTGGCCAATTTAAAGGGAAGTTTATATTTTTCCAAAGTGGATTTTTCCAAAGTGGATTTTTCAATGGGTATTTACAACTGCGAGTGAGGCCAGAGATGAGAAATTTGTTAACAATTACTACTCCGCAAGGGTTGTATGCATTTTGTAGATTGCCGTTTGGACTTAGCGTATCGGCTCAGATTTTTCAGCTGACCATGGCGGCTGTTTTCCAAGGGTTGGAAGGGGTTTACTATTATATGGATGATGTGTTAGTGACGGGAGTAACGCCGGAACAACATGAACAGAGGTTGGAAGAGGTGTTTAGGAGAATTCAGGAAAAAGGTTTGCGAACAAGTGCTGAAAAAAGTGTGTTGGGGGTCACAGAAGTTGTGTATTTGGGACACAGAATTACAGGAAAGGAGGTGAGACCCATAGATAAAAATATGGTTGAAATAACGAATATGTGTAGGCCAAGTAATAAAGTGGAGATACAATAATTTTTGGGGATGGTCAATTATTATCATCGATTTGTGGAGGATTTTGCGCAAATAGCGGCACCATTATACGAATTGTTGAAAAAAGGAGCATGTTTTGAGTGGAAAAACGAGCAGGAGGAGGCGTTTGAAGCGTTGAAATGTAAGATTGGAAAGGAACCAGTGCTTGTGTGTTATAACAATGATTTGGAGGTTGTGTTGGCAGTGGATGCATCTAATAAAGGGGTTGGTGGAGCCTTATTACATTGTATAGATGGGTTGGAAAGACCGGTGGTGTTTTTCTCCAGGATCTTTAAATCAGCGGAGACGAGGTACTCGGTTATTGAAAAAGAAGCATTGGCGGTAATATTTGGGTTGACCAAGTGTAGGGAATATTTAATTGGGCGGAAGTTTGTTATATATAAGGATCACAAACCTTTAGTGTATCTTTTTAAGAAAGATAATAAAGAGTTGATGTTATCGCCAAGATTACAGAGATGGTTGTTATTGGTGGGTAGTTTTGACGTTCAAGTCAAATAACGGCGTGGGAGAGAGAATTATTTACCGGATACTTTATCCAGATGTTGAGCAGGAGGAATTTGTGATGAACGAAAAGGGGATGAGGAAGAGAATGAGCAAGTTATGATTCGAACGGTAGCTGCAATATCCAAGGGAGGACCCGTAACATGGGAAGGGCTGAAAAGTGCTACATTGAAGGATCGAGAGTTGACGCGAATTAAGGCGTGTATAGATAGTAGAAAACCATGGAGAGTTGGGGACAAGAGGTTCAAAAATGTAGAAAAAGAGTTGACTATAGTGGATGAATGTGTGGTGCGAGGAAATCGTGGGGTAGTTCCGAGGAAGTTAAGAGAAGCCGTGTTGAACGTGATTCATGCTGGGCATCAAGGGGTTGAACGAATGAAACAATGGGGAAGAGAATATGTGTGGTGGCCTGGAATGAATGAGGAGATTATAAATATAAGCCGGGGTTGCGTGATGTGTAACTCTTGGGCCAGTATGCCTCGTAGAGATAAAGAAAGTGTTTGGCCGAAAGCTACTCAGGCGTGGGACAGGGTTCACATCGACTTTTTTGATTTTGAGAACAATCATTTTTTATTTATCACATTTTATCTTTAAAATGTCAATAAGAATAACATGTAATTTTCAATTACCATCTATCTATAATCGTCAAAAAACGTCAATCAAATAATTTAGCAAATAATATTCTTTTAAAAAATATTTATCTAAAGATAATCATAGCGATTTTAAATCAATAGTAATTCTATCATGTGATTTACAGATTATATATTTTATTTAATGGTGATGATTTTATATACTCAACCCAAAGATATTGGTAATTTATGTTAGAGATGATTTTCTATTTATAAATATTTCACATTGGATCTCAAAATGATATGAAATTGATGATTTTGTTTTAAGAGCTTATTGAAAAATTTTACAAAATGATATGGAATATTATAGCATAATATTAATCCTCATATGATAGCAAAATGATGGAATCAGAAAATCATATGAAAATAATGATTTTGTCTTTATAAATTTTGCAAATTTTTCTACCTACTGCCAAAAATGACAAGTTAACTGCTAATGAAATATTCATTTTTCAATAGTATAATTTTTAACAAATTTTATTTAGATAAATAAAAAGAAATTTCAAACTAAAAAATATAGCCACAATTTTTGTTATTTTATCATCATTCTTTCTCATTTTTCATCTGAAATCGTGATTTATGGATTCATTGAGAAGATGCTACTCAAAACTGTGAAGAACATTTTACAAGGAATGCTTTGTGCCTAGTGTTGTTAAAAAGTCGAGTTCTTACGACTTGCCACTCGAGTCGTAGTGGTAAAACCGCTCCCACTCAAGCCGATTAAGTAGTCGGCTCATGTAAGTCGACTCGCTAGGTCTGCTCAATTTTTTTGTTTTTTTATAAAATCTGGTAAATTGGTAAATTTTGGGTTATTGATCAACGTGAACAAAATATAATAAGAATATTCATGTCGTAACTAAAAATGGCTCAGGACCCGAATTCGGATTCAGATATTATATACCTATTTTTTATAACAAAAAAATGTAAAAATATAATTTATATTGTAAAGATGTTAAATTAAAATTTAAGTAAAGATGTACCCTAGATAAGTGATAATTATAATCGTTATTTTTAAAGATTTTTGAAATTTTTTGAGGCAAGTGGGTAAAAATATAGATTGTAAATATGTTAGATAAGTGACAATTGTCATAATCGTTGTTTTTAAAGTTTTTTAAATTTTTTTGACGTAATTGGGCTAAAATAGGTATTGCTAACATGTTAAAATAAAACTTCAGTGAAGATGTTTCATAGATAAGTGACAATTGTCATAATCGTTGTTTTTAAATTTTTTTGACTTAAATGGGCTAAAATAAGTATTGTTAACATGTTTAAATAAAATTTTAGTAGATAAGTGACAAATGTCATAATCGTTGTTTTTAAAGTTTTTTAAATTTTTTTGACGTAAATGAGCTTGCTAACATGTTTAAAATAAAATTTTAGTGAAGATGTACCATAGATAAAGTGACAATTGTCATAATCATTGTTTTTAAAGTTTTTAATTTTTTTGACGTAAACAGGCTAAAAATAAGTATTGCTAACATGTTTAAATAAAATTATAGTGAAGCCATAGATAAGTGACAATTGTCATAATCGTTGTTTTTAAAGTTTTTTGAAACTTTTTGACGCAAGTGGGTAAAAATATAGATTGTAAATATGTTATATTAAAATTTTAGTGAAGATGTGCCCTATATAAGTGACAATTGTCATAATCGTTGTTTTTAAAGTTTTTTAAATTTCTTTGACGTAAATGGGCTAAAATAAATATTGCTAACATATTTAAATAAAACTTCAGTGAATTTGTACTCTAGATACAGGGTTTCCCATTCAAAAAAGGAAAAGTCCCAATCAAAAAAAGAAAATCGTAATTTTTTTTAATTTTTTGTCAATTTTTCTTAAACCTTTATTTATTTTTGTTATTCCTTCTTAATTTATTTCTAAATTTTTGCGATTTCTTTACGTTTTTTTTCTTACTGTATCTTTTCTCAATTTATTTCTAACTTTTTGCGATTTTCTTTACTTTTATTTTTCTTACTATATCTTCTCTCAATTTATTTTTCTTCTCATTTTGATAATTCTTTTGTATTTTTAAAAATAATTTATAAATTTAGGTCCATTTTTTTAACAATTATTTACGTGTTTTTTTCATTATACATACAATATTCTTTTTATGATTTCATTGTAATCTTTTACATATATTTTTAACCTTTTCAATCTCGTCATTTTTAATCTTTATTTTTTTGACCTTTTCTCGATTTTTTTCTTCTTATTTTTAATAATTATTTTTGCTAGTTTAGTTCATTACAAACACTACCTACGACGGTTCCAAGTCCGTGTGCAAAAAGTGGAGGGTTGGCGTCATGTCGGAGACCGGCTGTAAAAACCCACTCCAAAATGATGATAGTTTCAAATAAAACTCTACAACAGAAAGCTAGGGCGTCCTCCACAAACGACGCCCACTGCATCTCCCGCCCGTGCAATGCGAATAATACACTAGGGTTACCGCCTGACTCACAACGAAGGCGGTTAAGGAATTTAGTTGTGGATAGAATGTGAATAACATGCTGGAATGTGGGTAGGTTGACGGGAAAGAGCATCGAGGTCGCACAAATGCTAAAAAGAAGAAAGATACACATCGCCTGCCTACAAGAGACGAGGTGGAATGGAACTAAAGCTCGGGAGTTAGGAGAGGGATACAAGTTATTCTACAGTGGGTCACCAAATCATAGAAACGGGGTCGGTATCGTTCTAAGCGAATCGTTCAAGGACAAGGTGGTGGAAGTCAAACGATGTTCAGACAGGTTAATGTGGGTGAAGATTGCAGATCAACGAGGCCTCCTAACCGTTATGTGCGCGTATGCTCCTCAAATTGGGTGTATGGAATCAGAGAAAAATATATTCTTCGATTCATTGGAAAAAGAGATGCAAGGAATAGGACAGGAAAAAAAGCTAATTATTGGGGCGGACTTCAACGCCCACATAGGAAAAGATCGTCTCGGGTATGAACGAAATCATGGAGGCTATGGGCATGGTCTGAAGAACAAGGAAGGGGAAAAACTTCTCCAAGTATCCCAAGCATATGACATGGCGATCGTTAACACTTATTTTCAAAAGCGTGAAGATCATATTGTGACTTATAGAAGTGGAAAGCATTTTAGTCAAATTGACTATCTGCTTATATGGCGAAAGGATTTATGGAGGATCAAAGATTGCTAAGTAATACCGGGAGAAGAAATCGCCAGGCAACATCGTCCACTTGTCATGGATCTTGAAAGAAAAGTGTTTTCTGAAAGAAGAAAGGTTTATGAACCTCGAATTAGGTATGAAATGCTAAAGGACATGCCGACGAACGATAAATACCATCAGAAAGCCTCTACACTCTTGGGTGCCAGGAAGTTAGAACGAAACGTAGACGACGATTGGGAGACGCTAACTGCGGACATAAAGGAAACGGCGATTCAGATTCTAGGACAGACCAAAGGAGGCAAAGCTTTGAATAAGGAACTACGGTGGTGGAATCAATCGGTTAGGGATTTCATCGAAAGAAAGAAAATTCTATATAGACGGTGGCATAAATCTAAAAATTCGGAGGATTATCAAGAATATAGAGAGGCAAAGAGAGCCGCGAAGAAGGCCGTTGCAATAGCGAAGAATTCTGCGTACACCGAGATGGCAAACAAACTGGATCATAAAGGGGGCGACAGGCTTATGTACAAATTGGCCAAGATAAGGGAGAAGAAAAGTCGCGATGTCGGAGTCCTTAAAATAGTCAAAAACGAGGAGGGTCAAACCTTATTCAAGCCGAAGGAGGTGATGGAAAGGTGGTAAGGATATTTCAAGGAACTTATGAATATTGCTAATGACAAAGATTTCCTTCCCGTTATTGAGTTAAACATAAGTATGGTCGAACTCTTTCAGGAGGATGAAGTTAGGACGCAAATGAACAAGATGCATAAAGGAAAAGCTAATAGCCCAGATGGGATTCCTATGGAAGCATGGATCGGATGCCGAGAAGAAGGTGTCACGACCATGACGAACCTCTTTAACAAGATATGGGAGAAGAACGAATCCTAATCAATGGAGAGCAAGCACGATTATACTCTTATTCAAAGTCAGGAGACCCTCAGGAGTGTGGTAATTACAGAGGTATCAAGCTAACTTGCCACTCCTTGAAACTTATGAAAAGGATCTTAGTAACATGGCTGAAGAACGAGGTTAAAATCGGCTAACCAATTCGGATTTGTGACCGGCAAATCCACAATCGATCCGATCTTCGCACTAAGACAAATGATGGATAAATGGAGAAAAGAAACCTACATATGGTCTTTATTGATTAAACACGGTCCCTCGCGATTTAATATGGTGGTGCTTGAGAAAACAAAATATCCCTGACGCATATGTACGGCTTATGAAAAATATCTATGAAGCCTCAATTTCTTGCGTTAAAACGATAGTTGGAGACTCTAAACCTTTTCGTGTTGAAATTGGATTACATCAAGGATCTGCTCTAAGTCCTTTTTTATTCAATATAATAAAGGACATGATATAAAAGACATCCAAAATTCATCTCCTTGGTGTATGCTATATGCCGATGATATAGTCCTATGCGAGGAGACAAAGGAGAAAGTATTCAAAGAAACCGAAAAATGGTCAAAACGCTTTGCTGGATATGGTTTAGAGGTCAACAATCGAAAAAAGGTATACATGGAGATGAACGTTGTAGGCATCCCGTCGCTGGATGACCAATTAAGTACCCAAAAGTAGACAGGTTTACATACCTAGGCTCGATGCTACATCAAGAGGGAGGTTGCGCAAAAGATGTCAATGCTGGATCCAAAAAGGATGGCATAAATGGCGAAGTATATCCGGTGTAATGTGCGACAAGGAGATGCCAATATGGTTGAAAATCAAAGCTTACAAATACATCGTACGACCGATGTTACACTATGAAAGTGAAACATGGGCATTAAACGCTACGGAAGAAAAGTTATTACAAGCCACAGAGATGAGAATGATACGGTGGAGCTTGGGGTATACTAAACTCGACCATATGACGAATGACTGTCTCAGAGCAAAAATGGGTATTCAACCTATGGCGGACTTGATAAACGAAAATCGGTTAAGGTGGTATGGTCATATATTAAGAAGGGAGACTAATGATGTAAATCGAAAAGTATGGACATGGAGGTGTCGGGATAGAGAGGAAGAGGACGACCTCGTACATAGAAATGTCAAGTAGACAAAGTTATGATGACTAAGAAGATAAATCCGGACATGGCCCTTACTACCAAGATGGAAGAAACTTATCAAAACCAACCCCACGACTGTGGGACCGTATGCATGATAAAGAAGAGTTTAGTTCATTACAAAATCCTAGTACATATAATTTTGTTTATTAAAGACCATTTAGTTAAAACATCTATATATCTGACTTTGATAAAACTAATTTTAAAATTTAAAAAAAAAATTGTTTTTTACTATATATAATCTTTATTTATAAAATAACCTACACTTTATATTATAATAATGTGTAAAAATAACTCGAATTAAAATCCATGGAAATATTTTAAAAAAATTAATTTTATTTAGTCTGTCTTCCTCTCCTATTGTTTTAAATAATAATAATTTTCTAATGCGTTTTAAAAATAAGAATTTAAAAATGATTATATTTTATTAATTTAAATATCGTTTGGCATTACAGTTAAAACCAAACGATTAATTTATAATTTAGCAATTGTAATTATATTGTCTGCCAAAAACATTAAATATAATTTTAAAAAATAATTATCAAAAATGAGTAAAGAAAAATTGAGAAAAGGTCAAAAAATAAAGATTAAAAATGACGAGATTGAAAAGGTTAAAAATAGATTACAATGAAAAAATCATAAAAAATATGTATAATGGAAAAAAAACGTAAAGAATTGTTAAAAAAATGGACCTTAAAGTTATAAAATATTTTTAAAAGTACTAAAGAATTATCAAAATGAGAAGAAAAATAAATTGAGAGAAGATATAGTAAGAAAAATAAAAGTAAAGAAAATCGCAAAAAGTTAGAAATAAATTGAGAAAAGATACAGTAAGAAAAAAAACGTAAAGAAATCGCAAAAATTTAGAAATAAATTAAAAAGGAATAACAAAAATAAATAAAGGTTTAAGAAAAATTGACAAAAAATTTAAAAAAATTACGATTTTCTTATTTTGATTGGGACTTTTACTTTTTTGAATGGGAAACCCTGTATCTAGAGTACATCTTCACTGAAGTTTTATTTAAATATTTATTTTAGCCCATTTACGTCAAAGAAAGTTAAAAAACTTTAAAAACAACGATTATGACAATTGTCACTTATCTATGGTGCATCTTCACTAAAATTTTAATATAATATATTTGCAATCTATATTTTTACCCACTTGCGTGAAAAAATTTCAAAAAACTTTAAAAACAACGATTATGACAATTGTCACATCTAGGGTACATCTTCACTAAAATTTTATTTAAACATGTTAGCAATACTTATCTTAGCCCATTTACGTCAAAAAAATTTAAAAAACTTTAAAAACAACGATTATACAATTGTCACTTATCTATGGTGCATCTTCACTAAAATTTTAATATAACATATTTACAATCTATATTTTTACCCACTTGCGTCAAAAAATTTCAAAAAACTTTAAAAACAACGATTATGACAATTGTCACTTATCTAGGGTACATCTACACTAAAATTTTATTTAAACATGTTAGCAATACTTATCTTAGCCCATTTACGTCAAAAAAATATAAAAAACTTTAAAAACAACGATTATGACAATTGTCACTTATCTATGGTACATCTTCACTAAAATTTTAATTAAACATGTTAGCAATACTTATTTTAGCATATTTACGTCAAAAAATTTAAAAAACTTTAAAAACAACAATTATGACATTTGTCACTTATCTATGGCTTCACTAAAATTTTATTAAACATGTTAGCAATACTTATTTTAGCCCATTTACGTCAAAAAAATTTAAAAAACTTTAAAAACAACGATTATGACAATTATCACTTATCTATGGTACATCTTCACTGAAGTTTTATTTTAACATGTTAGCAATACCTATTTTAGCCCATTTACGTCAAAAAACTTTAAAAACAACGATTATGACAATTGTCACTTATCTAACATATTTACAATCTATATTTTTACCCACTTGCGTCAAAAAATTTCAAAAATCTTTAAAAATAACGATTATAATTGTCACTTATCTAGGGTACATCTTTACTTAAATTTTAATTTAACATCTTTACAATTAAATTATATTTTTTGTTATAAAAAATAGGTATATAATATCTGAAGCCGAATTCGGGTCCTGAGCCATTTTTAGTTACGACATGAATATTCTTATATTAATTTTGTTCACATTAATCAATAACCCAAAATTTACCAATTTACCAGATTTTATAAAAAAAACAAAATAATTGAACAGACCTAGCGAATCGACTTACATGAACCGACTACACTAGCCGACTAAGTGAGCCGACCAATGCGTCTCATTTAGTCGACTCGAGTCAAAGTTGTTTTATCGACTAGAAACTAGGCTAGAGTCGCAGCTAAGTCGACTCGGCTTAGCCGTTTAACAACACTATTTGTGCCTTCCATTATAAATATTCCCACAATCTAATAATATTTACATTTTATACAATTATATATCTTTGTTACAATCGGAAGAATTATCGTGAATAGAAATATCATCATTTAAATCATTCTTTATTAATAAATTACATTAAATAAATAAATTACATTTTATGATCTAATATTTTTTATGAATTACATTTTTTTTATCCCCTTTAACAAAAAAATGTTATTTTTATATTTTTTCAAAAATAAATAAATCATAAAAAATAATCAATTATAAAAAATAAAAATGTTCATTTAAAATTGTATTTAAATATAAATTGTCAATTTTAGCAAAAATATAAAACGATAAAATAAATTGATTTTAAAGTTAAGAAACAAACATAAATTGCAACGAGAAAATAAAACGTTAATATAAACTAAAAATAAAATCTCGCCCAAAGATATAAAATTTTAAATCGAAGTATTTAACATTCAACCCTCCAAAGAAATCCGGCTAATGTTTTCCTTGGATATGTTGTGTAGTAAACGCCATCTACGTTCATGATCGCCATGCATGCAATACGCCATCCTTGCTCATGGTGCAGTCTTCTTTTAAAACCGAACGATGGCTTGGTAAAACGAAAACAGCCCTTAGCTAACTCCCCAATCGGATCTCTTGTGCGTGGTATCGGGCATCTAGATTCCTCTCGAGCAAGGTTTATGTTGTCCTTCAGCCAGTAGTCCAATTCCCGAGTCTTTGCATAAATCTTGGTATACGGAACACTCCTTGAGGGTATGATCTTAGGCACGGCATCGAACTTCAAGTGAGTTTTCGCTTGTCTGATTATCTTGAGTTTGTAGGAGCATGTAGAATCGAGGTTTTTTTAAAAATCGAACACTTCCTCAACATCATCATTTACTTTACCAACAAAGAACGTTGTATGTTATTGAAGGCGTGGAGCCACTTACTCCCTAGCAAGGGGATCTTATCACTATCCACCACTAAGGCCTTCAGCGACTTAACGTTTACATAGGCTAGACCTATAATCGATGGCGCTGTCGTCATACCCTGTCATCATATCCGTCTTATGCGTCGTGGCTATGCCTACAGTCTTAGCTGCATGCTTTGGAAGTATCGTGTAGCTAGTACCGGTGTCAACTTGCATCAACGTGGGTATGTTGTTGATGCTCACCATCATATCTGGTGTCATTGACCCCCAAATTGTACC